AGAACTGCATACTGGCCTTTAAGGTAGAACTGGCAAAAAAGGCAAATATCTTAAAACAGGCAAAAAAGGCAACATCAAATGTGTATATATGGAATCAGGGAAAGCTAAGTCGTGGACATTCTTAATCGAATATACTCTATCTCTTTAACAGAAAAAAGGCAAAATCCGTTCCCTGCTCATGAAACTATGGGCCAAATCAGACCTTTTAAATAATAATTAATAATCATAATGTTTAATGATAAAATACCATTATTTAAACCTTTTTAATGATTAATAATTAACTACTTAAAAAAAAATTTACTTAATTTATTTATTTATTTTAATTACATGATTAATATAATGATTTGATTATTTCCAATTAGTTATGATCTTTGTTTACTTGCATTACTAATATAATTATTTGATACTTTTTGATTGTTTTCAATTATTTTTGATTTTTTAATTACACGTTTAATATAATTATTTGATTATTTTCAATCATTTTTAGTTTTTGTTTTCAATTTTATTATACATATACTTCAACTTGTGTATAATACATTGCAACAGCAGTTAATATACAAATGATGAGAATAAATACAGTAACATAAGATAAATGCACAAGAAAAATAACAAAAACGCAAAAAATGGAATTAAAACAACACTAGTTGCTTTGTGATTTAATTTGCTTATATTTTATCAAATAATTGTCCATACTACAACAAAACCGCATACTATACATACATCAGAGTTCCAAATTTGATGAAAAACTTAGGAAAATTCAACACTTTCGTCAATATACATACATAATAATCACTTCTTAATAAGATTTTTTAGACAAATTTTAAGGATGCAGTTATGTAGCCCATTGAATTTTTGTAAGGCAAAGCGCAAATTTCAAAAATCTGCGAATTACTTTGATTTCTGGTAATTTTTGGTTGAAGGTTTTTTCTCTAAAAAGCATAGCATATACTTACAAGTATGGAATCCTATGCCCCTTTTTGTCTGTTCTCTTTCTAACAACGGATGTGCCTGCCAAACTGAAAAGCTTGATGGCGGCAGTGTTTGACAGGCACGTTCGACGATGCGACCGGCATGGGAAGGAAAGAAATGGAAGATGGATGACATGAGAAAGAAATAATTATGAAATAGCAGAATGTCGAAGCAAAAACAAATTTCAAAAATGTGACAATGCGAATGACGCTAAAATAAAAGAAATGTAAAATAGCGAAATGTCGAAACAGAAGAAATAGATGACAGGCACGTATACGGCACGGGTTTCGTGCAACAAAAAGTGTTGCTGTGTTGCGCCATTGAATATTTAAAAGCTTTTTAATGTGGTTAAATTTACTCATACGCTTTTTTACTTAGTCGACAAAAGCACATATTTCGCCAGCCAAAACATATATATGTACATATGTATATAGCGTGACGCTACAAGATTCATTTATAAAAACGGTATATGCTAATGGCCTTATTTATAAAAAATAAAATAGATTTATATAGCTCTGTACAGTGACATTTTTATAAAAAATTCGATTTCTTAATTTTTGATGAATTTGGGTAAACTACTAACTTTGTGTGCAATCCTTTCCTATTTATTACTTTTCAAAATTTTATTTTCTTTAATAGCCCTTTGTCTGAGTTACACCCAGAAAAAATCAAAATATTTTATAAGAAATGTATTGACCTTTTTACAACGGCATTTAAAGCCTTCTTCTTACACTTCACTGATGCTTTTTTATTGTAGGTGTTATTCTGTTAAAATCTAAATTTTTATACATTTAATGACATTGCCCAAACATTGTTTTCCGGCGTTTCCTCTGTGAACTTTTTTTAACTATATTCATAAAAAAATTACTAATTTAGGTTTATTTTCTCATCTTGGACTGATACATATGTATATATGTAAAAGGCATTTAAAAACATTATGTGCCCAATATGAACGATGCAGCGAGCAAAGGTGGCACCGTCAGACATACTGCTACTTTGAGTTTGTCGATTTTGATAATTCTGATCTAAAGTAAACGACGCATCAGAAACTTTAAATGAACTGAAATTCACTTATACTTCCACTAAAATTACCGTTTTTTTTACATTTTCCTTATTAATTGTCATTGTAAATCATATATTTTTAGAATTTAGCACAATTAAAACCCGTTTACTATCCAAAAATTTATTATTGAGAAAATTGGCTGCTCTGACATTTTCTTTTAACATGCAATTCGACTTTTTTACAGAAATATCATCGCCACTAGGACGGCGTTATCTTGTATTCTTTCTTGTCAAATATGCATTTTGATGTAACTGCTATTAAGTTTTAAATACTCATTAAAATCGTTTCAATTCGTAATAAAAGTACATTACATACTTAATATAAACTAGCATTTTTAATTCTAAAATAAATCAATAATCACAAGAATTATAAAAATTTCTCTTCAAAAGATACGTTTCAAAACATCCCTGTTGATGTCATAATTCAAATACAAATTTGAATAGAAATTTTGATGCAAACGATTTTCCGCGATATTCATCATACAAATTTCTTTATTCTTAATTTTCTTACACGCAAATTTACTCATTATTTTAAGTGGCTTTAATCTCTTTATTTTTGTAAAAAATAATATAAAGATGTTGCTCTTGCCAGCTGCAATAGCTTCAATACACGAACAAAATTGTGAATACCCAGTGCGCAGCTTAGAATAAGAATCCTACCATTTTGCCTCCCACATGTTTCCGTCTGGCCTCCTCATGATCCATAATGCCTCCGGAGGCAGTCAACACAACGTAAAAAAATTTAAGAGAAGGCAGCAAGTTGTTGGTCCACTTCCAACCAATCCAACCAATTTATGCGATTTAATGGGCCCCATGCATAAAAAATGAGTCTAAGCTCAGACTAAATTTTTGCACTGAAGGGGTGAGCTCAAGCTCAAGAATTTGTACTGAAAATCGAGTTGGAGCTTAAACTCACTGTTTATGCATGAGGCCCAATATCTTTACTGCTACCTTGTGGTGCGTCATTTGATGTTCGCCAATCTTTACTTTACCAAAAGTGCCCGCGCCGAGCATGAATCATGCGTGCCGAGTGTTGCGCCCAGTAAATACATAGTGACAAATTTTTACGAGTGAATGTGGGCCACTGCCTGTAGCTGCAGCTGCGGCGGCACGTGATTGTGGCATAATGTTGGTGTACAATTAGAATTGGATATCTAGAACTGCGTAAGTTTAAAGCATAAAATAAAAAAAGGTTTGGTAAGGTTTTTTGGGCCGCTGCTTAGGCCACAATCGCAAATGCACCCACACGAGCGTACGTGCTGCGTAGAGACGTAAATTATAGTTTTCCTGAGCTCCAGTTTCTTATCGCACTATCTTTTCCTTATGACTTATAATTCTCTGCCACGATTTGCGCTGCTCGGGCCACGGCTGCTTGTACAAGAAAATAACGCCGAAACGATGATCATCTTACTTGTCCGTAAATGCAAATCTACCTAACTTTTCCAACGGCAGGAACGAATATGATGTTCAAAACAGAAACAAAGACAACGAGTTTCACACTCATTGTTGTATTTTAGCGGAAAACTATAAGTTTTACAAATATTTCAAATTATTGCCTGGAACATGCACATTTATCGTTCATATTGGAAATGCAAGACCTGGCATGTATGTATTTTATATTTCTTATTGAATCAAATCAAAAGAATAAAAACACATTTTTCTAGAAAATTTCGCAATTTACATTTCAAAGTTTTTTCTGAAACTTGGATGCAACTCTGTGCGGAGAATGGGAGACTTACAAATTAGGTGATCTCAGCTGTTTTCAAATGTAAACAAACAAAATGGCGCTTTCCATACTTTTAAGCCTATACAATGTTAATAAGGTCTAACAGTATTAATGAATAGACAGTTGACAATGCCTATAAGAAATCTTTTCTTACTTCTAAACTACAGTAGAAGCATTTAGTCGTACAGTGACTGTAGTTTCAGTTATTTAATGTTAATTTATAAAAACTTTACTACCAAACACAGCTTCGTCTATTTGGAAAAATAATTAAAAATAATCATATAATTAGCATTAATCACATAATTGAAGATAATCAAATAATTAAAAACAGTCAAATAATTAAAAACAATCAAATAACTAAAAATAATCAAACAATTACATATAATCAAATAATTAAAAATACAATTTGATTAATTTTGATTACTTCTAATTACTTGATTATTTTTGATTAGTTTTTTAATGGAAATTAATCGTGATTATTTTTTATAATTTTTAATTATAATTAATTATTAATGGCTGGGTTATGTAAGAACTTTAAAATAATCATTAAAATTAAAAAATGCTAAAAATATATGATTACTAATCGTAATGGAAATTTAACAGCTCTGGGCCAAATATAGTAAAACTGCGGTTTTAGTTTTAGGATTTTTTAAACGACTTTGTAAGTTCAAAGATATGACTAACTCCAAAAATTATTTTAAAAATTCAGTGCAATGTAGAATAAAAATTAAATTTTGTTGGGTTCGCAAGGACGAATAGGTATAGAAAATGCCAATCTACTCAATTAATTTTTTTTAAGCTAATAACGTTAGAAGGACGATATTCGAGGATGTTGTCGAGTTTATATTAGTCCTTAAGATAACATTTTTTCAAAACTAAATATTGCAAAATTTCAAGGATATTCAAGGATAAAATTTTAAAAACACATTTTCAATGCCTAAACGTCCACCAAAAAAATTTAAAAAATTGTGACGTCAGAGATAAAACCTAAAAAAGCAATTTTACTATATCTCGCCCATGGTTTCGCGAATATATTAATTTTTTAATATGTTATACGATGTGCGATGTTATATGTATAATGGGCTAGACATTTATAAAAAATATTAATATTAAGTAAACAAAAATAATATGGCCAAAACTGGTCAACATAAGGCGTTTCTATTATTGTCACCATTGTTAGCATTGCTTCTTCATTTAAAAGATTTAGTTTTGAATATCTGTAATTCTGCATCAGAAACTAAATTTCGAAAAAGGGTACCTAACACCTTTGAATCCCAAGGTAAGAATATGGTAGATAAGTAATTACCTGGTGAGTTAAAAATAAAGCCAATTGCATGATTATATTACGCGAAGACAGGCGACCCCCTATATTTTTTCCACAATCAACTTTAACGGGCCCCAAAGGATAGTTTGATGACAGCGTAATTGTAAGCTCCGTTCGAACGTCATCTACAAAATATACTGCTAATACTTCCCTTGTTGACAAATGTACTGTGACCTACAAATTTCAAATTAAATAGTGGATAAGTTATAAAAACCATATTATGAAGCATGGCAAAAAAAGGAGTAATGCTTACTTGCATATTTTCATGCTTTTCCTTATTCGTATAAATAGATTTTAACTCTTCATCGCAAATTAAAGGTGAAACAAAGTTGGTCGTAAGTTTATCCAAGAACGATTTTTTTCGAGATGGTAAAATATTCCACCACTTACGAACAACTGCAGGTAGTTTTTTCAAAACTTCTGTATATAAATGGCAAGCATACCTTCCAAGAGTTAAGTTGTCATCTAAAAAATCAACCAAATGTCAGCAAAATTAAATACATTTATTTCAATTAAGTTTGATATCTAAGAAATAAAAAATGTATTCAACATTCAATAAAATTCCAAGTGCAATTGAAATTCACCATGAACCAGCTAAACAATTGACCGTCTCCCAGGAATTAGAGGCCGCCAAAGGTTTGCTGAATCAACGGAAAACGCAATGCACATCACTAGAGCTGCAATATAAAAGGTCAAAGCGCACATCACTTTTATACGGATACAAATTTTTTAGTATTTGCCCGCAGTATAATCCACAATATATATGTAGACATACAGGTAACGTAATAATTGATCGCGATGTGCTTACTAAGGAAGAACACATTTGCTACTTATCCACTCCGCGTGTAAACCTTGCCGCTCTACGCAAAAGGCCTAGATATTATCAGAAAAGAGTTGTTGTGCCAAACTGCACGACGCGCGTAGAGCAATTAGCGTTGCCGGACTTGAAACGAGTTCGTTGGACTTTAGAAATATATAAAAGTACACTTACAAAACGTCAGATAAAATCATTAAAACATCATTTGCATCAAGGATCAAAGGTGATGTCTTATAATATAAATACCGCACTTTCTTACATTGAAGAAGAAAGGCGTTTAAATAGAGTCGCCAAGTTATTGCGAAGGCGACATTGTCGCAAGTTGAAAAGACACGTTCTTCGAAAGCAGCAACGGCAAATAAGAAAAATTATTTGTGTACTTTTCGAGGAAATGAGACATTTTTTACTTAACGATCAGTTTTTAATAGATGAACGCTCCACACTTCGCGGAGTAATCATGGAACAAATTCGAAATTTTACTAGTAAGTGCAAGTTGCTGTGGTTACGTTTAAATTTTTGAAAAAATTTGATTATTTGATTCTAATAATATGTTTCGAATTGTAGATAACGAGTTTTATACCACAAGTAATCTGCGGGAATATCAGCAAATTCTTGCAAATAATCTAACAGTTTGGATTAATAAGTTTATATCTAACCTTAATATACATTTAGCACAGCCTCCAGTTGTAATACACAACATAGAACCAGAAACTTACTTGCCGGCTAAAGGTTATATATCATGTTCGGAAACGATTGACAAAGAAGAATACGAAATTGAACAATGTAACTACTATGCTGATGGAGAGGATGAAGAAGATAATGATTACGTATATTACACTGAGGATACAATATCGAATACAAACCGTTAATTTGAGCCAGTGAGAGGCTGTTGAAAATTTCACATGTTAAAAATTTTCTGTCGTAATTTTTTAAAATTTCTGTCGGCATCGCGCGTATAAGAAAATGTAAGAATTTCTGAAACGATATAATTGATAAATTAAAGTAAAGAAATCTGTAATCACGTATGTATGCTATCGATCAAATAAAGCAAATACATATATACAAGTATTTACGCCTGGAACCAGGCATGGATTCATTGGGGGTATTTTTAACTACATAATAATATGTGTTTTTTTAAGTAAAAAATAGTTCTCAATCAATTTTTTTTAGGTTGATTAATTTGTTGCTGAAAATTGTTATATATTCTAATATATGAATGTCATCAATAAAGATAAATCTCAACGTGCTAGAAAACATAGGTCTGCGCTTTATTTTAACGAAAATTACTAAACGTTGCAATTCTTTAAATAGTATTTATAATAGTGATTCTAAATATACATAATTGCTTTTTAATATATTTTCCAAATTATAGGTACATAGAAAAAGTTTGTTCTCAATGTCTTCATATTTAAGAATCGAATAAAGATAGTGTATCTGGATGAAAACTCGTAGAATGTTGAATGACTCTGCCACAATCGCCACCAACAACTAGAGCTGGAAAACTATCGATGGCACTATCGATAGTATCGATGGTTTTTGACTATCGAAAATATCGATGGTTTTGTATGCACTATCGATAGTTTTCACTCATACATTCATTATTCAGAAAGAGTAAAAGCCGGCGGTACCTGCTTCACTTGTAAATCGGAAGGGATATTTAGCAAAGCAGGGCAAATAATTTCAAAGCGCAGATGCTGCTTGAAGCCAAAAACCGTTGATAAACTTTTGTCCCTTAACAAAAATGTGGCCATATTTTAGCGATTCTGATCTCAATTTCAATAAAAGTTGTTATGCTTAATTTTTGGACTTTTTTAATCAAAACTATCGATAGTGTCGACATTTTCGATAGTATCGATACTATCGATGGTTGTGACTATCGACTATCGAAACTATCGATGGCCACGATCATCGATAGTTTTCCAGCTCTACCAACAACTGTCGCTCCAAATACGAGGGCCTTTACATAAGTTTTAATTTTAGACCAAATATTCTTAATTGGCGAATATGGTCCAAGACGTAGGAGCGTTGCTTTGTCTTTTACGTTGTCTGTAAGTAGTTGATTGCATCACAATGTGTAGTAAGTTTTACGGTTTCTGAAGTACAATTGACTATTCTCAAGTACATTTTACGGTTATTGAAGTACAATTTACAAATCTGAAGTACATTTTATGGTTTATGAAATAGAATTGACTAATCTGAAGTACATTTTTCGGTTTCTGAAGTACAATTGACAAATCTGAAGTACATTTTAAGGCTTCTGAAGTAACGGGTGATTTTTTAAGAGCTTGATACCTTTTTTTTTAAAAAAAACGCATAAAATTTGCAAAATCTCATCGGTTCTTTATTTGAAACGTTAGATTGGTCCATGACATTTACTTTTTGAAGATAATTTCATTTAAATGTTGACCGCGGCTGCGTCTTAGGTGGTCCATTCGGAAAGTCCAATTTTGGGCAACTTTTTCGAGCATTTCGGCCGGAATAGCCCGAATTTCTTCGGAAATGTTGTCTTCCAAAGCTGGAATAGTTGCTGGCTTATTTCTGTAGACTTTAGACTTGACGTAGCCCCACAAAAAATGGTCTAAAGGCGTCAAATCGCATGATCTTGGTGGCCAACTTACCGGTCCATTTCTTGAGATGAATTGTTCTCCGAAGTTTTCCCTCAAAATGGCCATAGAATCGCGAGCTGTGTGGCATGTAGCGCCATCTTGTTGAAACCACATGTCAACCAAGTTCAGTTCTTCCATTTTTGGCAACAAAAAGTTTGTTAGCATCGAACGATAGCGATCGCCATTCACCGTAACGTTGCGTCCAACAGCATCTTTGAAAAAATACGGTCCAATGATTCCACCAGCGTACAAACCACACCAAACAGTGCATTTTTCGGGATGCATGGGCAGTTCTTGAACGGCTTCTGGTTGCTCTTCACTCCAAATGCGGCAATTTTGCTTATTTACGAAGCCATTCAACCAGAAATGAGCCTCATCGCTGAACAAAATTTGTCGATAAAAAAGCGGATTTTCTGCCAACTTTTCTAGGTAATAAAATTCAATGATTTGCAAGCGTTGCTCGTTAGTAAGTCTATTCATGATGAAATGTCAAAGCATACTGAGCATCTTTCTCTTTGACACCGTGTCTGAAATCCCACGTGATCTGTCAAATACTAATGCATGAAAATCCTAACCTCAAAAAAATCACCCGTTACAATTGACTAATCTGAAGTATATTTTACTGTTTCTGAAGTACAATGGACTATACTGAAGTATACTTTACGGTTTCTGAAGAACAATTGACTAATCTGAAGTACATTTTTCGATATCCGAAGTACATTTGGAAAAGGTGTAGTCTGGAGTATATTTTACGGTTTATGAACTAAAATTGACTAGTTTGCATTATATTTTACGATTTCTGAAGTACAATGGACTAATCTGAAGTACATTTTACGATATCCGAAGTACAATTTACGTAGGGTACGATCATGTTCTTCAACACTTTTTGCAGCAATTAATATATCGTCAATGAATGAAATGAAATACGATCATATAATGGACTGTCTTCGAAGTTTCTCTCGTAGTATTTTTGAAAGACCTCAGAACCTATTTTGATAACAAATGGCAAAGGCTTGAAACGGTAGAACCCGAACGGTGTATTGAAAGAACAGAGCTCACTAGCTTTTGCACTAAGGTCTATTTGCCGAAATGCTTCCTTCAAATCTAGCATAGTGAATATTTTACTATTAGCTGTACGTACCGATATTGGTTCAAGAGATGGAATCGTATGGTTCTGCGATAATATACCTGCATTTAAGTCTCGCAGGTCGATACGTCAGCACCGGTACCTAACTTAAAATTTGTGGGGCTGCCATTTACTCTATTTTTTTAATACCATCTTTTCTGGCCCGCTGTTAAATATTTAATATTGTGCAAAACCATATCATCATTTTCTCTTTTCTCGCCATTTTCTCTTATTTTATGAACTTGTGAGCTGTAGCAAGCAACGCTAAAATTATGTAAATGTCCGCAGTTGTTGCATTTTTTGCCGAATGCAGGGAATTTGTGAAATTTACGCAATTTACGATACAAGTTTTCGTCTTTTCCAGCGGGAGCAGTGTTGCCAGAAGGGCCAAAGTTTATCAAATTTTCAGGGTTGTAAAAAACATGAGTAACAATTAAATTTTCTTAGAGTTACGAGATACGGAAGTCGCCAACATCCCGTCCACCGTGAATCTAGACGGATTCACTAACATCCAATTTCGCCAATAAGCAAGCAGGCCGCCGGAATACTCCCTTTTGGGTTTGCACTTCAGCGCTGCGAACCTGTAAGTCCTTGCCAGGAAACACTTGGGTTACTCTGCCCATCGGCCAGCGAGAACGATTTATATTGCTGTCCACAATTAAAACCACGTCTCCGACGCGCAGCGGTTGCACAGGCTGTGCCTAAAAGAAAGTGATTAGGGGTTATGGGTTCGTCGGTGAGTGTATCTAGTGGTATATGAATTAGCGGGCAAGAGTTCACCATGTTCTCCGCTTCGCACATTAAGCTATAAAGGCAGTGATCTTGTAGATTCTCGTCATGGAGCGCATGTCGCATAGCTCGCTTGACGCTGCGTACTAAGCGTTCCCAGCACCCTCCAGCATGAAGGTTTAACGGACAGTTGAACACCCATTCAATACGTTCATTAGCGAGCGAGTCAGCAATCATTCCATAATCAAATTCGACGACTTGTTTTTGTAGTCCCCTGTCGGCACCGATGAAATTCGTAGCGCGTGCCTCGTCTGCTCATAAAATTCCGTATACATAGTAAACACGAATCCGTGCTGAGATCTCTTGCTATTTCCATATGAACCGGGCGCGTCGTCAAGCAGGTAAAAAGTGCAATCCAGCGTTTTTCCTTGCGGCGTCCGATGGTAACGAGGAAAGGACCCATGTAGTCGAGACCCACGGAGGAAAATGGCCTCACAAACGGGGTCAACCTATCTTGCGGTAGCGGACCCATTAGCGGAGTCTCTGGTTGGGCTTTATTAATTTTGCACGTTTGGCATTCTCTTGCGGCACGTCGAACTGCAACTCGTACGTGCGGTATACAGAATTTACGGCGGATTTCTGCTACAATCGTTCCTTCATTTTGATGTTTCCCCTTTCGATGATGATAACCAACGATCAGGTCTGTCACATGGTGTGCTTTAGGCAAGATAATGGGTCTGCGAGTACTTAAAGGGTCTGCGTCTGCATAGTCAATTCGCTCTCTTACTCGAATAACACCTGAGTCGTCCATATACGGTAAAAGCGTCGAGATCGTTTTGTTGCGTTTTACTTGTCTTTTCAAGCTGTGATCTTCATACTCCTCAGCGTAGGCTTCCTTCTGCGTAGCTCGACAAATTGCAAGTTCCGCCCTTTCCAGCTCGGTGACGGTGAGTTGACCACATCTTCTGCGCTGCAGATCTCGTTGGCAATTATCACGGAAACGAAGCATCCACGCAACTACTCTGGAAGGCGGATGAAACATGAGAAGTACTGTAAAAAATTATATTCGGTTTGAATATGCAGAACAAATTTTGCCCTAAGTTCCTCTTGAGTGTGTTTACGCGACTCAGTTGCCGGCCAATGATTTTCGTCCTTTAAAAGGAAGTCAGGTCCGCTTGCCCAGAAGGATGTGCGTTTTTCGTCTCGAGGACCCGTGCCAAAGTCGGCTGAATTACGCGCGCTTGGTAGCCATCTCCACTTACGAGACCTCGCTGTTTTCCAGGATTTCGTTTACGCGGTGTGCCACATACGGCTTGTGGCGACGATGATCGGATTTTATCCACGCCAAGGTCGTTTTCCAGTCACTCTACATAACCACTCTAGTCGGTACCATATCGTGATTTTGCAGGATCAGAACGCGAAGACGGACTGCAAGAACCGCTGACTGCAGCTCCAGGCGTGGAACCGTTGAGGTTTTAGAGGGGCACACTTTGCTTTCCCCATCACAAACGCCA